CATTAAAAGATGTAAGAGATATAGACAGTTAAAATATTTAGTTTCATAATTGGACATTGGTCTATCATAGATATGTGGTCACACCTGGGTTCACCACCATAAGGTATTAGATTTACAATATACACCACTGTATCCGTTGATCATCATGTTGAAAATTTCAGTTACAAGAGATATCACACGCTGAATGCATCATAATTGGACATTGGTCCATCATAGATATGTGGTCACACCTGGGTTCACCACCATGAGGTATTAGATTTACAATATACACCACTGTATCCGTTGATCATCATGTTGAAAATTTCAAGTTACAGGAGATATCACACGCTGAATGCATTATAATTTTCACAACGTAAAATGAAAACATATTTTTAATTCCTAATAGTACGACATTTAGACCAAAAATGTCCGAGGTGGACAGTTTATTAACAATTATAACTTTCTATTAGAAATGCAGTTTAAAGTTCAACAAAGAAGGTTGTTTGAGTGCATTACCTGGTTTATGTTTATCTCTACTCATCCCCAATTTTAGGCAATAATAACTCTGAATATTTCAATTCAATGGATGACAGAACGAAACGGACATTTATACGTGTTACTTACTTGTTCCGATAACTTTCGGAACGGAGAACTCCACTCTGAAAGTCTTTTCAAACGATTCTCGGGTATGGGCCTCAACATTGTTGATTAATGCTTTGTTTAAGAGGTTTTTGTCGTTGGAGAGAAGCACCACCTGGTCTTTAGGAACTGAAGAAAAAAAAGTTATAATGAAAAGTTGTTACCTACACAAATCCTATCGTTAGAATATAAAGACCTCTTATAGAAACACGACCATCTCTCTAAAGCTTTCTTAACCCATTGAAGAAGAAAATGGTGTTCAGGTAAAGTAATCAAGGTTAAATGTATTAAAAAGAGACTCATCTTTGATTACCACTTTCGTGTTTTAACCATTTCAACACGAATCGTCTGTGAAAGGAAGTGATTTGATCACTGCATGGCCGTTCAACACGTTCCTTCTACCAAAACAATGGAATAAGAAAACACACAACATTCTTGAGAAATCGTATCTTTATAAACACATTTTATTTACTTAAAAGTGTTCTCAGCTGACACTCTTTCTTAAGTTTCATTCCGAAACGTTCACTGTAAGATAATCAAAATTCCTGCAGAGAGAGTCAGCTCAAAATATTAGCGAATAATTTCTACTGCACAAGGATGGCTTTAATATTATTATATTGTAGATTCTTGTTATGGCTTAAATAAACTCTTAATAAATCACTGTATGTCTAGTTACCATGTTATATGCTCCCCAATACACCACTCTATGTCTAGTTACCATGTTATATGCTCCCCTAATATACCACTCTATGTCTAGTTACCATGTTATATGCTCCCCAATATACCACTCTATGTCTAGTTACCATGTTATATGCTCCCCAATATACCACTCTATGTCTAGTTACCAT